ATATATATATATATATATATATATATATATATATATATATATATATATATATATATATATATATATATATATATATATATATATATAATTATTATTATCTATACCACAACAAAACAACATGATTGTTAACGGGAAACTTACTTCTGCAATTTTCGATTCGAAATCAAAAACCTCCATCATCTGTCTTTCAACATCATCTCCTTCAGCGCCCAACAAGGCAACAATATCAACCATCAGCTTCTTGTATGCTTGTCGTATCTACAAGATGGATCATAAAATGGAATTATATACTATGAAGCTTAACAGTTCTAATTTTGGAGGTCGCCCGGAAGATTTAACATACATCAAGTTATATCTGCATGGTACTTTAAAAAAACTTTCCGCACCATATATCAACTGGCTTATGTATTCTTGTATTCAAGTTGTGTTTTAAACCTTCCATTTTTGTGCGCGAGCCACTTTTAATGTGATTTTAACACCAGCTCATACGCGCGCTCAAAAGTTAAATTCTCACATTAGCCGACGATCAGAGGACCCTGAAATACCCATGTTAGAGATTATAAAGAATAGCTTTGACATGGCAGCAAAAGTTCAGGCAAATGAAAGGAACAGATTGAAGCCTGCTAATGAGGATAAATTTGAGTTATACCCGGATATAAATCCAAGAAAATCTTTTTTTTCACTTTTTGGCTACAATTCAAGTCTTTAACCTTGGTTTTATCAACAGTCCTGACTCCTTTACATTACTTTGTGGTGAAAAATTGAGGAATTTCCCTTTGTTTAAACAATAAGCAGGCCCACACGAACATATATCAACATGGAGCATGGATATATGGAAGTACAATATTAGTCCATCTCAATATTTATTCCAATTAAAGTTCCCTCACCTTCTCATCATCTGTTCCGTTATTTAAGTAGTTATCCTTGGTCATACCTAATCCTGATTGGTCAAGCTGTCGACAATAAAAACAAAAAGTAAATAACTTGATAGGTATAAAATATAGGTGGAAAAATTAAAACAGGAAATTTAAAACCCAAAGATATGTCATGGGAGCTATATAGGCGTAAAATAACCGAACACGCCAAGCTCAGTCAATAAGTTATTTCCACCTTCTTCAAGGTTTTTTAGACAAAATATGTACTTGTTGATTTCACATCTATAAATTGACCTTGTTTTTTAGTTCAGTTTAATTCCTTCCAAAAAATTATATTCTGTTCATATTTTTATCTTCGCTCTTTCGGCATTATTTTTTCTTAATATTTTTAAAATTACTTTTCCGAGTGTTCAGTAAATATTAAAATTCTATTTGCTAACCTGTAAACAATTGCTGGGAGTATTTTTATTCCTCTTAGACTTAGACTATTAAAGCGAATAACTTGCTGTTTTCTCGTTTAGGAAACTCTGGTGATTTTTGAGCCGCCATCTTGTTGTTTTTTTTCTACTGGCACGATATGAGCATAATACATATGAGCTAATATCCTGCTAGTAGTCTACTTTATTGTTACAAACTTGATGGCGTACTTTACGGTCATATTTTTCATTTCAAGCATTTTTTGATGAACATTTAAAAAAGAAAATTTCAATCAATGTACATTGGCTCACCTCAATAACATTCACAGTTGAATTATAATAATCGGCGCCTGTTGATATGGCGAAAAATGGATTGGCATACCATTTTCTCTGTATAGCAATCATTGCGGTAGTAAAATTCCATGATTCTTCCCTCCACGTTCCATTTCCCGTGACGTTCCACGAATGGTAGTCCGCGATGAGATCGATCAGCGGCTGCGCCCCTTGGTCGTTTATCCGACTTCGGTTCATGCACGTTTCGTAGTATTTAAATGCCTTTTGCACTGCAGCATTCTATGGGGCAGAAAATAGGAGAGGTTGAAGGCTTGTTTACACAATCAACGTTTCTGTGATCACAGCAGGAATTTTGCGTCGGTAAAATATTCTAAGTTTTGAAGGATTTGTAAGAAATGTTTGAGCAAGCTGACGTAATGTTAAACACTGAGTCAGTTTCCTCAAACATTTCTTACAAATCCTTCAAAACGTACAATTTACCGATGCAAAATTCCTACTGTGATCACAGAAACTTCATAGTGTAAACCAGTCTTAAGGTTGCAGGACACCCTTTTTGGCGTTTTGCTGAAAATCGCTACTGCACGCTCAATATCAGTCCGATTTTCATCAAATTTTCACCAAATGTTCGCCAGTGCATGCAAAATATGGTAAAGTTGTAAAATTAACAAACAATAAAATAATGTAAGAATTATTCAGGAAAATCTTAAATCGCGGTACCTTTACGCTTTTGAGTTGTGCTCCTGCTGGTTGCAAGTTATATTTATGAAAATATCGTTTTTAAACAGTAAAATAGTTGTTCTAAAAAATTGTGTTCGGAAATTTTTGTTTATTTCGTCATTCCGCTGATATGGCGATTTCTTTGACGACTGCAATATATTTCTGAATTGTTTGAGTGAATTGCTTTTTATTTTTAAAATATCCAAAATTTAAAAAAAGCCGAACACAATTTTGAAACTGACGTATTTAGCTATGTCCTGTGAAAATTTGAGAAAAATTGGTTAAAACCCGCAGGAGCACAACTCATTTGAAAATCAGTAATTACCGTAAAATTTTTCGTGAGAAAATTGAATTTGAATATTACATTTTCAATGTTTTTCTTATTGCAGCGAAATGTATTTTATTAAATAACTCTGCGAGTTTTCAACATTTTTCGTTCAAACTTGGTCAGATAGTAGAACTAGTCTAATGCTTTCACTGAAACCAATAAAAAAATTTTAGGCAAAATTAACACTCAAAGGTGTTCTGTAACCTTATGGGCATGTATCAGGAACTTCATGGACCAAAGGTCTGAAAAGAGGGCAACTGTTGACATGGCAATTCAACTTTTTATTCATTTCAAGCAGGGTGGACAAAATTAATTAAACAAAATGTCCGTTTTTTATAATGTCAAACAATTTCAGAATATTCGCAAAAACTAGAGAATGAAGAATTTTAAGGACTTCTAAGCACGTCTTTATAAATTCAAGGACTTGAATTTTTGTTTTCAAATTCAAAGACTTTCAAGGAGCCTTGCCGTGCCGCATGCAAATCTATCAGACAAAGAAATTTTTAATTTGTCTTGATCGGTTAATGCTAATTAGATGATACTATTGTTTATGATTTTAATAAAGAGAATTTGAGCACGAGAGTTGACTTATGTAATTTATGATTCCGTTGTCTGTACTTTCAAGACGTGACGTGAAGAATTGTCACGCGTCCTTTGTTTTGCTCATAGATATTTTTACTCCAGTTACATATGGAGGTCACACAGCCGACCGAAATGTAGTTAGGTCAAAGATAATTTTAAACGATGTTTTTTTTTTCAGATGCCCTTTTAAACTTTAACGGACACCCTGCACACGTGGTATACATTTCGGTATGCAGGGGGAAATTCAAAATTTATTGAAAACCTGAGAAAATATTTGCTAGAATTTTTATTGTGAATATATGAACTCAAATCAACCAACTCAAACAACGAGATGGCTTTGGAATGGTGTACTGAGGAATTATATATCGCTTTTACTGACGCTATAATCTATTTTAAAGATTTTTAAGCGATGTTTTAAATTAAAGTGCTAAACTAAAGCAAACATGGTCATTGTTTGGTCAAGGTCGAAAAGTTGGCAGATATATATTTTAAAAAGTGTAAGTACTATATACTTATGAGTTATGTCTATATTAGACTTAACGCTGTGCAGTAAACTGCCATGATCTCTGTCTGAACAAGATTAAAATACTTCGATGTATCGTGCCGAAGACGTTGAAGTGCCTTCATCTAGTTCAAACACAAACCACGGGCCCACGGCAGATTATGCTAGAATACTACCTACACTATAGATCGCTAGTGTTCAAATCGAATTCCTATAGCAATGCTGTTACATATACAGGGGTATGAAAAGGTAATCGAACTTTTGCATGTCATTGTGCGTTAGATCGAAAGAATATACTTGTTTGTGACTTGTATACAGTGTGTATAAAAAAAGGTAATCGAACTTCGGCGCGCTATTGTACGTGAATTACTCGGCGTATGAACAAATTTTTTTCGTGTTCCGAAAGATCTGGCTTTTAGCTAATGAATGACATGTACAGTAGCCAGAATCGCATATTTTCACCTCTGTGCCTAATTAAAGCAGTGCAATAACAAACGAAAAAGCAATTTGTCATAGTTTCGCTAAGATTTATTTCCACTTAATAATTATGAATATATATGTGCGTGATTTATTGAAGTGAAATTCATATCAAACTTTCGCCCTATATGAATGAACATTTGCTCAAACTAGTGTCCAGTCGCTTAATGTGAAGTTACAGACGCTTCATTTTAGGCTGAGTGTAAGATTAGCTATGCTGAACTGGTTTTGTAATACCTTCTTTAAATAAAGTTCATTATTTAATATTATTATTATTATATGGCGGAGAGACCAAAGCCCACGCTTTGAGATTTCCCAAGCATAAACTTCAATTATAATGAGGCAGAATAACTAAAAAGTACATTTTACTAAACGCAAACTCATTACAATTGTTCAACACTTATCTGGATTCTGGTATACAATATATAAAGACATATAAGGGAGATATTGAGTCTAAGACGTCCCTTCGCCATCTTCTACAGCCGAGATCAATTGAATTGTTAATGAGCTTGTAAACACAAGCAAAACCCACATCTTTGCGCACATTTTGCCCTTCCTAAATCGCCATAAATAAACACGAATTTGCTATCAAAATGCGCCAAATTTCACGACGACTTCAAATCTGGAGGTAACTGGAGTCAAAGACCTGCGCATAAGGTCCTAGGGCCAGTTTTCTTCAACAGACACTGCGCGCGAGGCGAATTTCCTATATAAATCATAACAAATAGCGCATAATCAAACGAAAAGTGCCCTTCGAATTAAGTATTATTTCCCCATAAAAGTACATTCAAAAGACGTCTAAAGGCTTATTCTTTCCTATACCGTAGGTAACTGAACACAGATCTAATCGTAGAGCAAACGTAAGCGAAAAAACATCAAATTTTGGGGTGATTTGTATAGGCAAAAGTTGGAAATATGATACGCGCAATACGACACGACTTTTTGTTAACGCAAAGTTTGATATGCATCAACTTAAGTCCCAAACAAAAAACGTTAATTTTCAATGGTTTTAGACCCAACTCTCAACGGTGAAAATATGCGATTCTGACTAACACTTTTTTATTGGATTCGTATTTGCTCATTTTTTATCCACTTGGCATAAAGAACACATCATTCAACAGCTAAAACTCCTGATCAGTGGCGGAAATCTTGGTAGGGCGGGGGGGAGGGGGACGGCCGCCCCCCCCGCCCCCCCCCCTCATGGGCAATTGACGAATTTTCGGAAATTTTTACCTAAAAAGAGGGCGCTTAAAACAGTCTTTTCGAGTGAAAATGGGGTATGTAGGAAATTTGAGTGTTTTGTTGGAAATTTAGGGGGCTTTGCCCCCCCCCCCCCCACACCTTACTGGAAAAAGTGAATTTCTGCCACTGAGCCTGATCTTTCCGAATATGAAAACATCTCGTTCATAGGCAGAGTAATTCACAGATACAATTTATTGGCAATTCCTGCTTTTAATTATGCACGCAGGGGGGTGATGGGAAGTAAGGGTCATATTGCTGATTATGCTGAAACATTTCAATAAAAACTGCCGAAACAACCGAAATATTTCAATATTTACAAGTATAAGTTATCACTCCGTGTTTACACGACCGTCATTTTTATTTTTTCAGCATAATCAGCAATATGATACCTTACTTCCCATCCTCCCCTGCACGCATAAACTAAAAGCTGGAATTGCCTATAGCGTGCTGAAGTTCGACTACCCTTTTTTATGCACACTGTATAAGCATTTTTGATGGATTTATATTTGGAGGATTTATTGATGGTTTTTAATCAGTCCCTGGCCTTGAGATTTATAAGACAAAGATATGGCGGCCATGTTAGATAAAAAAATCCAAATACAATAGCCACTTACATCTTTATATATCAACTTTGTTTTTGGATCCTTGACGAGTTTCTTCAAAACGTTGTCATTTGCCAAATTCAGAATGTCAAACTGACCCCAGGACGATTCCGTATCTGGAATATCATTGTCTCGTTCCCAACCCCCACACGCATAGTTGTAGAAGTTGTCACAAGGGTCTGCCGAGAAGTTCATTGAAGATATGATCTCTAAGAAAAGATAAGAGAAAATATGTTGATCAGAAAAAGTTTTGACTATGGTCCCCAAATGCAAGTTAGCTGGTCACAGGGTTCGTACGCCCCCTGGAAATCCTGGAAAACCCTGGATTTTTATTTTAGTCCTGAGAAGCCCTTGAAAACCCTGGAATTTCAAATTTATCCCTGGAAAACTGAGAAACTGAGCTGGGTATAGGATCATACCTAAACTATTTAAGTCTATCTTAAAAATAAAGATTGAACAAAAGGTTCTTGCATTATATATAGTCAAACTATGAATATATTTCGTTCAAACTGGTACAAACCCAAAAGTATCTGTGCAAGATGAAGTACTAGCCTTCGCGAACGTTTCTTATCCGTTAAACACTTATAGATTTATATTTCAAATGCCCCTGGAAAACCCCTGGAAAAAGGATGAAAAAAGTCCTGGAAAACCCTGGATTTTTTAAATTATGAAGGTGTACGAACCCTGTGGTCAAAGCTTATAAAGGGTTCCGTTGGCGCAGTCGTCGTAGCAAGCGCCTTTCACCTCTAAATGAGATCGTGGGTCCGATTCTCGCTACGGACTCGTGTGAAAAGAGTCGGTCAACGCTCTGCCGAAAGTGGTGGGTTTCTCCGGGTGCTCCGGTTTCCTCCCACAGGGAAAGTTGACAGGGTAGGTTAGGGTAAACACAGATAATTAAAGTGCCTATGACACGAAATTTCACCCCAAATGTTTATGATTGCATTGTAAAGATCACTTGAAATGAGTTAATAATTTCTTTTATAGAATTTTGGTAACTTGCTTCCTTTGCAAGATATTCAACTTTGTTTCATATGCAAATATCACCGGTGTGACATCACATCGCATAATGACATTTTGAAAACGCAATATTTTACCATGATAAAATATTTTTACAAACAAATACAGAGGGTTAATTACCAGTTATGAAATTACTACATATACAAGTTTGCAAAGTTTTTTAGATTCGTATATTCGTCAAGAAAACTACACTTTTCTGAAAACTCATTATGTGATGTGATGTCACACCGGTGATATTTGCATATGAAACAAAGTTGAATATCTTGCAAAGGGAGCAAGTTACCAAAATTCTATAAAAGAAATTATTAAGTCATTTTAAGTGATCTTTACAATGCAACCATAAACCTTTGGGGTGAAATTTTGTGTCATATAGGCACTTTAAGAAAGTAATATCACAATTGTTGTAAAGATAAAATCAAGGTGACATGCAAGGGTGGGTATAGTAGCGATGTAGTTGTAGTTCGCTACTGTAGCGAACTACAATTTTCAAGTAGCCAGTAGTTTATGACTACTTTTTTTAAAACAGTAGCTGTAGTTATAGCGAACTACATTTTGCCTAAAAGTAGCCAAGTAGTTGACTACTTTTCAAACAGCGAATCGCTATTCGCTACTTTCTAAAATTGTTAACAACTTGATAGAATAGGCTGATATTGAGACATGGTTTGCTTAAAATCAAAACTCAATAGTCAATTTGCTCTCCTGAACAATGTAGTGCTTACAAAAATGTTGCTTCGTGTTTACTGTTGCTACTCGTAAGTCGATTTGTTATGGGTTGTATTACAACCTGAGTTAGTACATGCTCCAAATGCAGTGAAACTAAAATATATGGCGTAGCGAAATAGTTCGCTACATTTTTTAAGCAGTAGCTGTAGTCAGTATAGCGAACTACCTTTGTTCAAAAGTAGCAGTAGTTGTAGCTGACTACATATTTTTGAAGTAGCTGTAGTTATAGCGAACTACAAAAATTTTGTAGTCAACCCACCCTTGGATAAAATAATCTAGGCTATAAGTATGTAATTAGGTAAGCGTATAATACTTGATGTAAAGCGCATTTGATCTTATCCACATGTAAGAATTTGTGTTATAGAAATGCTAATCGGAATCCCGGCGTAAACAAAATAAAACTAAACTAAACTAAACTAAACGAACGTTATTTATATACTTGATAGTTCCATCAGTTCTCCTTAGAGGACCGGTCTAAGGGTTAACACTTATTGATTGGTCTATTGCTACAGATCTGTTAACCTGCATGCGATCATGCTATATATGACTAAAACTAGAGCAACATGTAATATGGTGCGAGTTCTTGCACTAGCTGGCTAGGGATTGCGTCAATGTGAAAGTACCGAAAATAGTTGCTATATAGTATATACATTTGAAATACGTTATCGTTAACGCCCAATACTTTCCCTTTGATCTATATCATTTTGCATCGAGCAAATTAGGACTAGAAAAAGTACGGCACATTTCGGCTTAATCGATTAACAAAAGACATGAACATTTTCCTCTTAAACCAGTAAAATCTCCAGCATGAGTTCCACCTTTGAATTTACTATATGAGTAAATTTTTAAACACGTCCGGAATTTATCATTATGATAAATTCGCGGCACATTTTGAATTTATCATAATGATAAATGCGCGGCACCTAAGCTAACACTAACCCCAACCCTATATAACCACTAACCCTAATTTAACTTTTTTGAAAATCTAACTTTTTAAACTTTTTTTTTGCTTTTTTAATTAAACTTTTATAAAACTTTTTTAAACTGTTTTTTGAAAATCTTGTCAGTCTTTTTTTTGAAAATCTTGAAAGTCTTGTCTAATGCTTCTTCTTTTATGATTAACTCTGATTGATAAATTCAAAATGTGCCGCGAATTTATCATATTAATAAATTCGGACGTGTTTAAGAATTTACTCATATGGTAAATTCAAAGGTGGAGCTCATGTTGAAAATCTCAAAAATCGTTAGGTAGATATAGAGTGAAATAACTAAGAAAGACACATTAGGTACCATTACAGTTTAATACATTGACAAGTGATATGCATGGGCAGATCGTGCGCATGCATGGTTAAGCCATTATGCAGCCAAACACTTCCATAGGCAGAATATAGGCTGGCCTAATTTCTATATAAAACACTTAAAGGAAATACGCCTTCTTATTCACGTGATTTCTTTTCAATCCGTGGCGCAGGTACAACCTAAGGAACTCTGAAATGAGATTAAATTTCCCAAGCCACGAACAAATTACCCGATTTTTTAATGACATTTTACGTTACCTAAAAGCAGGGACGTCGCTATAGGGGGGGGGGGGTGTACCCCCCCCCCCCAATAATTCAAACGTTGGACAAAATGGAACTGACATTTGCCAAAAGTTGGTCAAAATGGAACTGATATTTGCTTAAAATTGAAGGCAAAACTCGGAAAAATTTGGTCAAAGTTTGGGATAAAAGATGGTCGAAGTTGCTCAAAGTTATGAAATGGTTCGCAGTTGTAATAGTTTTAAAGGTTTTGTTATGTTTGCGATGAAAGAATTGGAAGTCTTGCTTATTTTGGTCGAAAATTTTTGAATATGCTTATGTTAGTACGGAAAAATGTTTTCAACTATGCTTATGTTAGTCCGGAAAATTTTTTTTGACACCCCCCCCCGTCGACAATATTTTGTGAAAATTTTGTACGACTTGGTCAAAATCCTAGGAAATGTTGGTCAAACATGACACACCTCCCAATGTTGATGGCTTCGCGACGTCCCTGCCTAAAAGCAGTGTTTGCAATTGTTTTAGTATGCACTCCTACTCAAAATACAACTCCAAGAGCACAATTTGAAAGATTTAAATCGAATTTAAAACCACGCACGAGCGTTAATTTGAATCATCCCTTCCAACCTTCGCATGCTTCGCTTGCGGCTTTTTTGTTTACTTTTCGCATGCAAAGAACCCGGTGAAAATTATTGCAACTAAAATTTATAGCTTTCTTAGCAGGATTGCATTCACTTTCAACTTACACATTTGCCTGTCAGTGAGTTCTCTTACAATTTACCTGAAAAAAGGCCCTGCCTGAGAAGAGTAAAGTGAAAATTTCCGAGTGGTCGCATTGTATGAGGCCTATATTTTTCCCGTCTTATAGAAAAAGAGAGAATCAGGCGGAAGAGACGCACGCGGACGAAAAATATATGATAGGTCTGACATTCTGGAATTAACTAAACAGTTTTTTTAAATTTGTATTTTGTGTATATGTAAAACAACTCTATTTTCTCCACAGCGGTTTATTTGAAGTAGTTGTTTGGCCTTATTGACTAAAAAGCAAGCCCTTTCAAGTTTTTTACGCCGCAGCTGTCGAATCTAATTACGCCTGCACATTATAAAGATATCCCGCAGTAAGTGGAATGAATTTGTCTAATATAATAAAATTGTATAATATAAGAAAATTTTCGTTCCGCTTGCCGTGACGATTTTGTTATTTTCACAGCTCTTAAAAATGGCTCGCGTCGGCATCTCCTTGAACTTTCCTCCCGACAACCGTTGCCATCCCTGTTAGTGTTTGCGTGCATGGAACGGAAAAATTTTCATCCCGGTAAGTGAGATGTCACTTTTTTCAAGTGACGTCTTGAAAAGCGAACCAGCCGTCCCGGTTATCCATACAAATGCAAAGTAATCTCTACAAAAAGTAACTACACGGCCGCATCTTTTTGCTCAGTGCCGTTAATATATAGAGACCTTATAGGGACCTTTAGCAAATAGGTGACGGCAACGCGACGACGACGGCCAAAACAAACTCGCTCAAATAAGTAACTTTAAGAACAACATGTCTTGTATTATCCGTTGTATGAATTTATTGCAGTTTAAGAAGGTTAAGTCTTAAGACAGAGGTTTATAGTTGAGGATGCTTCTACTAAGCCATTTGCCGAGGACGACTTCTCGCGGCTTGAAAGGCAGACGTTGTATACAAAACGTGAAAAGCTTTGGTTTGCTCTTGTAAACAGAGCAAGGACGACGTCTAAAACTCCCAAAGGGACCTTTAATCATGCATTTTCTTTCTACACTGTCATAAATTTCATTGTATCCGGTCCCTCTTACGATGTAGGACGGGTCCCTCTTACGGGTCCCTCTTACGGGTCCCTCTTACGGGTCCCTCTTACGGGTCCCTCTTACGGGTCCCTCTTACGGGTCCCTCTTACGGGTCCCTCTTACGATGTAGGACGGCAACGCAACGACAACGCCGGCCAGAATAAATCATTCAAATAAACGATTGTAAAGAAATTTGTAGACTAGTATTGATCTTATCATTTTATACAAATACTGTTTGGTTAGCTTGAAATAGTGGCTTTATTGTTGAGAAAATTCTGCTGTTGTATACCGAGCTTTTTTTGCTGTGTATCGCTTCTCGCGTCTTGAAATGCAGGCGTTTTATCCAAGACGTAAAAGTCTGTAGTTTCCCGTTGCAAACAAACCATGGATGACATCTCAAGCTCCCGCGGGATATGAATTATTCATTTTTTCCCTTAAATATTATGAATCTCGTTGTATGAATAGCCGTCGTCGTCGCGTTGCCGTCTCATCGTCCCACCCCAGGTTATGGTTAAAATTTAACCAGAAAGATTCGGATTGATAGGGATATACTGCAACTACCAGAAAAATACAAGGTGAACTTCGACGTTTCGAGCGGAGGCCCTTCGTCGTGAAATTAGTTAGTTGACTACAAACTTCTTGTTCGTTGACTACAAAATTTGGAACGGCTTTTAGGTAGAGGCGATAACAAACAGCTTCAGTGTCACGGATATGCAACTACCTGAAAAATATGTCAAGAGTCCGGGCAGATAGGGCAGATTAAAATTTAGAATTTCAATTAAATATTGAAATATTTTCTTGTTAATTAGAGGTATTATATAGCATCCAAGCGCAAATGACTAAAATTTTCAGTCAAGTCGAAGCCAAGGAAATGACCACAACATTTTCCACCAAGTCAAATGTCCATTGCCCAGCATTGGCTCAATATGCATGCCCCCTACTACTTTCCCCATTAGAACATTGTTAGAACTACTAACTATAGGCGTGTTCGCATAATCAATGTGAATTTGGTGTCAACGGGTATGCATTAGCTGATTAGGTTGATATGAATTAGCATGGCACACATCTTTTGGCCCGATCTATGACAATTAGCGTCTTAATTAGTACGCATGTCTTTCTTAATATTGGCTATTGCACAAGACATTCGTCAACATCTCTGGTCTAGATTCTAATCGGCATTAGACAAACACTCTTTCAATACAAGATCAGTGAGGTTACGATTATGCTGTGTATTTGAGAAAAGGTTAATCTTATAGGAATATAATTAAGCTAGCTTTATTTATAATATATTGGATGGATAGCCCTACCACTTCAAGACTGTCCCCCCAAAAGTCAACTATTGTCACATGCGACTAAGGCGAATGGGGATTACAATTCAGATTATGACTAACAGAAGCGCACGGAACCACAGATGAAAGGCAATACACAAAACCACATTAAAAACGTCGATCCTTATTAAGTGTGATTCACTCTGACGATTTTGTCGGCGATTTTCTCTTCCTGACAGATGCAACTGAGTGAACTTGTAACCAAAAGTATGAATGGAATTATTTTTTGAAAGTATACATTTCTAAGTCTTTTGTATGTCACTCATTCAGTCACTTGCGGAAATCTTGCCCCCTTCACGAAAAATGACGAATTTTCGGAAATTTTGACCTAAAAGAGGACTAAAAACAGCATTTTCGACACCACCAATATTAGTTCTTGTAACACCACCAATATTAGTTCTTGTGTAATTTCAAGTAAATTTGTAAGTTGATATTCGGTAAATTAAAACTGCTTGTCAGGCAAACGTGGAAGCTAAAAGCGAACCCAAGCTGAGAATGCCAAATTTTAGTTGAATTTCTCGGCTGTCTGAATGTCCAAACATTCAATTAATATTTTCACCGGAGAATTTTCCCTCGAACCTCAATCCCGCCCTCAAAAGCAACACCTGCTACTTGCATATACTCATGGAATAAAATCACAGTAAATTTCAAACACTACTTTTAGGTAAAGTAAAACGTAATTTAAAAACTCAGGTAATTTAATTGAACCCTTACAGCCTCAAACGACAGAGTCTTCGCTACGTCTCTGGGTGTTACGCAAGAATAACGGAGTACAGGATAACCTGCCCAGCAGTCTTTGTTCTATGGGTAACACTCTTCTATACATATAGCATTCTTGTTCTATAGCGTGTTTGCAGATTGTGACAAAATATCGATCGCACCGTAGGTGTCGCAAGCCCGACACATTACAATTGAACATCAATGAGCATTCTCACAGCACTCCCACATAATGAGTCCTACCGAGACTATAAATCAACTTTACGCACAGCCTACCTGCCACGTTTGAGATACACCCCAGCGAGTTGCAGATCCCATCCGCAGGCGAAGCACTGTTTTCCGTTCGCTTTAGTACAATAAAACAAACTAGCAACACGATACAAGCAACGAATAACAAAACGGTCGTAGCTAGGAATGTATTTCGTTGACGTACATAACGGTCGAGCACTCTTTTCAGAGATTTAGGCTGGTTAAAAAAGATTTCGCCATTGTTGTAATCCGAATTTTCCGCGAGCGGTGTATTTCCAGTGTGGGAAGCCATATTACTTTGGAAGCGTCTCGACAAATTGAAGCAGATGGAATATTTTTGAAATTGGCCTTGCGTAAGGCGTTGATTTAAGCAATTAGTCGACTTTGGGAGTTGACTAATGGCCGAGGATCGTGGCATTTTAGTCGAGGATCGAGAGTCTAGGTCAAGGGTTTTATTGTTCATTTTGGTGGATTTCACCAGACACAGTTAATCCGAAGCGAAGGAGAAAAAAATAAGCAAAGGCCCTTTTCATCGTCAAAGAAGTTAGCATTGTAGTTCTAATCTTTTGACGAAGGGCTTTGCTCTAAAATATAATTTTTCTCCTCAAAGTATTTTATTTACCCACGAATCTCGACCTATAACCTCGAGTGAAACTCGGTCGAAAGGTCCGCTTATTATCTAAAAAGCTACAAGTATGCTGCCCAAATAAAGTGCTCGCTACGCTAATGGCCCCTAATCAATGTTTAAATGCGATTCATGCATCACGCGGTATTGTTCGCGCTCGCAATAAATCAATTCGCAAAATTATAGAGAACAGCTGCTTTTCGGCTTTTCGTTTGAGTTGATCTCGATGAATTATTTCAGGTGATGAAAGTTTAATAACGATATATGAGCACTTTTTATGTTGATAAACACAGACAAGGTCAGACTGTCATAAATACCCTTTTTGAAAGGAATTTGAGAATGGAGGTTACAGAAGGGTACGTAATACTTTTAGCTAAATGCATGTGGCCTTCACCACTTAGATATGCATGATATCATACCATGGATCTATCTTAACTATCCATGATCTTACTTTCTGATATTCTAATTATAGTTTCACTACAATCACATGCGAGAGAGCGAGTCCAGTTCAGTGTACTGGGATTTTTTTCCCAAATTTAAGGGATTTTGGGATTTTTTTCAGCTGATATTTTCGAAATATTTTCCCTTATTTTTTTCGCCGAACTTTTTTCGACATTTTTTGAGACATATAATCCGTCGAATTATTTTTAAAACGAAGTAAATCAACAAAGGGCATTTTCACGCCAATTCACGATTTAAATGTTTAAATTTGATGGGATTTCTCAATATTGCAATAATTTTGAAGATTTTATTTTCAAGTACTTTTTCCAGGTATTTTATGCAATTTTTAGAGATTTTGGGGGATTCTGGGATTTAGTAAGATTTTGGGATTTTTCCAAAGATTTTTTTTGATTTTTGATGAAGTGTACGAAGATTTTCAGAGTAATTTACCCCTCGCGGGATAACAGTTACGAACTGATTGAATTTCTCCAGTAATAAATATAGTTTAATAAAAAAATCTTCCTGTTGTTAATTAATACTGCATGGGCCAATAAGGAAGGAGCCTACTGGAGCTCTATGAAGAATATTTCAGAACTGATAGAGCTACCCAGTATAAATAAAGTTAGTTTCGTTTAATTTCATTTTGTAGTACATTCATGGCGGCGGAACAGGGGGGCGGGGCTTGCGGGCTGCAGCCCATGCGTGAGTATTTTTTTTCATCGCCACGTAGTTCAACTATGCAATTTTGTGCAGCAATTTTGCCGTCTAAATTTTTCAACCCGGTGCCAGAAAGTGCAGGAAATGGCATTTCCCACAGTTTTCAGGGCTCCTAACTTTAAATATCTTCCTACACTACTGCTGTTACATGCAGTTGGATCACGTTTTGTGTGCCGTGTTTGTACTTAGCTGAAAACTTAACCCCCACCCATCAAAAACATGAAACCAAGTCACTAACCAAGTTGAACAGTGGATAAAAGGAATGGTCCTTGCTGGATCTCTAGGAAGAAACAGTTTAGAACCGATCGAGCTATGTAATATATAAATGAAGTTAGTTTTTGTCTTGCCTGCCACAACACTGGGCAAACGAGCCGCTAAAATTGTTAGTGATTTATTGTTATATCAATAACGTTAAAGTTTATATTTAAAATAGAGCATCTATCAACGCAGAAGCTCGTATATTATATACAAAGAGTATTTTCCAATGCCGATTATAAGACGTTGAGTGATTGTTGGCAAAATTATGAAGGACAGGCGTACATGTATGCAGACGCTAATTGCTTTAGATCGCTAATTGGATATGCCTATATACTCCCAAATGGAGCTATCCAGTCGAAATAAAATAGTTGAAATGAAGTTTGTTTTGTTTAGCTTAGTTTTCTTCTGTATATAATAAGACTTTGCAAATAAGGAACGGCTTTCACATGGATCTCTGGGCGTAAGAATTTAGAACTGATAGAGCTAACTGGTATAATGGATTATGGGTTTCTCATGTGTGGTACATACAATGCCAATTAGGATGTTGAGTAATGTGATAGGAACAAGAAGCCGGCTCTGATTAAGATATTTACTTATTGATATCCATTGAAATACAAGCATCATATTTATGTATAGACGCTAATGTTTGTATCCATTGTCGCCCAATTCACATTTTCGAATAACGTGTTGACGTTAATCCTACACAATGTTTCGGATATCATGGTTCAACACGGACACGAAGTAATCATGATTTTAAAATGAGCCTAAAGCATTCCGAACAAACTATTTTAGTCTACCGAATAACTCTCTACCTGCTAGTGTAATGCAGTACCTTGTTCAAGATCAAGGCACTACTTAAACATTTACATGAGTAACTGTAATGTCAGATTTTTTGTTTTCTGTTTTGTTTTACCATGGACAATCCTATATCTTCTGGATTGTGTATGGTCTTATCTGTTTGGTTAATTTTTGTTTTGTTATATGTAAGAAGAGCTGCTTTACCATGGGAATTTAGTTTCCCCCTGCTGCTATCCAGCCATCCAGTTTCGTTTTATTGTTTTTGTTGGGGTTTTTTCTCTGCACTATATGTTGTATTAATTGGTTAGTTATTTCTCTTTTTCAATTTTTTTGTTATACTCTATGTAAGGATTGGCTAAGTGGTATTAAACATTAAACATGTTACGTAGCTAGTTATCACTGCTTAGATAATATTGAGGCTTTTAGCACGCAATGGAACAATTAAGGAGTAGGAGTAAATAAGTCAAGGTGTGCCAATCATCCTTACTTGCTGAGAGCTTATATAAGCTGCATTCCGAAGGACGCAGCCCAACGTTATCAATTCGAATGCCTTCTAAGGGCGCCTCTCAATGAGCACAGCTACAGTAGAAGGGTCAGTTAGGGGCTGATGCCAACTTAGGGGTTAATCCCAACCACCATTGTCAACATTCCCTGTGGGAGGAAACCGGAATACGCGGAGAACACCCCATGACTTTCGATAGGGATCGACTGACCTTTTTCACATCTGTCATGTGTCCGATTTCAGGGGGTGGCAGAAGCGACAATCGAACCTACAATCTCAAAGATGAAAGGCACTCGCTCTGACGATTGTGCCACCCGCAGCCCCGCAGATTAGCAAGGATATGATTATGAGTGAATTAGGGGACAGTGCATGGGCTTTGATCATAGAGGCATGCAATGGAACAAAGATTAGCAAGCATTTAATTATGAGTGAATTGGAAGACCACGGGGGTATATTTTCATATGCTGTTTCCTTGCGCCTAAACATGTGTTAGCTGGCCAGATCTTCTGCGGGCTCTAATTCCTGTTCGAAGGCCATCTTATGGGCCAACTGTATTTAGTACTTAATATTATAGATTAATACGATAACTTAATATCCATAATATATTTTATACTTTTGCAAAACTTGCTCCTTTGAACAAGAAATTCCCGAAACCGTTTTTGTTATTCTCGGCCAATCAGATTCAACATATCCTTTCATGCATACATATATAATCAAGACAATGGCTAATATAAACTGCAATGGTGAAGATTGCTTAAAATTAAGCGCATTTGTATAGTTGGGTTTTTAATGTATATGGGATGTTGTAGTTGTGCATCCTAATTATAATCAATAATTCAGGGGGTGGCAGTTTTCCTTTTTCAAGGCAATATAGTCTTGTTTACATTGTCAAATATTCTTTGATTTTGTCTTCGGTTTAAATATATATCCTTCGCTTAAAGTACTTGACAACGTAAAGTTCTCATTGAAAGAATACAGAAACGAGTCGTATAATATGCCCTAACCCATAATACCGCACAGCTTTAAAAGTTAATGACATATCGTATACTTTCTCAAAGAAGAAATAATTTATGTAAATCATATTTCAAGATATTTCTTAATCCAGAACATAAGATGAACAGTTTTATCCCTGATATAGATGTAAAGATTTACGTACTCGTAGCCTACGCAATGACCAATGTAAACTACTAGATTTCGCAATGCTTTTATCTCTTCAAGTATATTAATTGTAGCATATAACGATTCTGGTTAACATAATTTCAAGTAATATACTGTCTATATATTGGCTTTCACCATGCATTTTAAATGTAAACTCTCTACAATTCAGCTGCTAGTAGCTGCCATTCAGATTTGTAATAAATTCAATTCAATTTTAACCAGTATTTATAGGCGGATAACTTGCTTGCATGCAGTCATACGAAAACTATACTACACTAAATTGACTGCACGTAATTTACACTGGATAGCTCTATATCAGAATACTAAGCTTATAGTTGCATATCCGAGGTTAGGTCTTATAAACGTATAAAATTTACACTCGAACAACAAAACACTTCCAGAATTAGTTCTATTAATTACCCATACACCTTACATTGGCATCACCTAGGTATTTATGAACTTGCGGTTAGATGTACTGGATTCGCAGGGCTGCAGGTTTGATTCCTGCCAAGGGCCTATATAGTTGCATGCATATTTTGAAATTTCCATTTACATGCAAAACAATTCAGTTTGTTCTATCGAGTGAGATGCCCCAAATCCTGATAGTAACCTATCAGTACTATAAAGAGTTCAATTTAGAAATCTAGTAAGAACAGCCCCTTCTCCTTTTTCTGGTGTTTTGCCTTATGGCAGGTTTGACTTTCGCCGTCCAGTATTATTACAAAATATATTCATCATCCTTCATAATATATTCCCAGACCCGTTCTTCCTATACGCCCTTAATGTGCACTTAATGGGCCTTTAAATCTTTGGTAATTACAACTGAGCAAAGATCATTAAGTCGGGACTGTGTTTTGCTTTTAGGATCAATGCAGCAACGAAACGAGATGTAAAAAGATTAAAAGAGGAGCCAAATATGAAGCTAGAAAAATAAGGTAAGATTTTAATAGTATGAGATGCATGCACTCGTAAGTGCATGGAAAACGTATTGTAGAACTTTTAAATTCATTTGTGAAATGAACTTGCGCGCTCCGCCATGACTCTGAAATCTAGTGCAACAGTGCAGGTGCAAAGCTCTCTGCATATGAAATGGAGGAAATATATTGTTCGAACTTCTTACGGTGTATGTTCCAACAAATTCATCCTAAAACGTGGTTATCGTTATTTTCATGATACACTGTGATCTGCATGCCCTTTTAAACGTATACGAATCGAACGCCTGCGCGTGTTTCGCCAATGTAAAATAATATTCTTTTTGCCTTAACCAAACATAACTTAACTTAACCTTGTTATATATTCCCTAAAATTATTTTATCAAATGACAACTGTTAAGACGTTATCGAGCTTCTGCCAGAATCTGTATACGAACTTATATTGAAAATGCCATGATATAGCGGCATGTGTTTTTCAATTCGGCGTCTGCGTGGGACTAATTTGCAGTTATTAGATTAAACCTTAGGCTTAGATTGGTGTTATAAGATTACTAGACGTCCGAGGCAATAAATTTTGTGGAGACTGAAGGACAAACTCTGAGATGTTGATTAGTATAATCCGCCATCTTGTTTTGACAGCTGTGCAGCTTCATGGTCAGTACCAAGCTTAGTTTTGCGGGGTTTTTTCCAAATCATTGCCATATCATTGCGTTTTAAGCATTTATTTAGTAATACTAGAATCTATATAATGTGACATTTTCAATAAGAAAATCTGATGGGTCAGTCGTACATGAAATCAATTTCTACACAATAAAAACCTGAAAATGTGGCGCAAATTCGCCAGGCTAGGGGAGTCTGGCCACGTGATCGCTAGCGGTTTGCTGTTTTGAGCTATTCGTAAAAACACGTCATTCTTAAGGCCCATATTATAATTTTAATTTCAGTTTTCGTATAAAATAAGTAAATAACATCTTGCAATCTTCTGTCTTGCAATCCTTCGTCAGCTGAAGGACGATCGCTTTTCACTGAAGTTCTAACGTGAGAAGCTTAGACAGAACTGCTAAAACTATCCACTATAGTTTACTTATGTCATTGTCAAGAATTCCCAGTGTCTCTTCCCAGTATAGGAGGGTGGGTTGTAGTTGCATGATCGGCCTTTTGTGATTGCCTAACGCATTCTTTGCACCCTTGATGTATTTTCAGTAAATACCGTTGAGTGTTTACAGGGATGGTGAAACGAGCTGCCTCGAGCATTGGCTTTTACTTAGAATTGGCCTAAATGTCTTATGCTCTTCTGAGCAAACTTAAAAACCGCATCTCACAGGGCCGGAAATCCTACATTTTTCGACTGATACCGGCATACCGTTCCTGTAGTGAACATTTTTGTTCATCGACGCGCGACCAAAAAGCCGGGAAACAGTACTATACGCTTTTGCAACGTGAAAACCACGGGATCCAATAATAATTTGAGGTTACTCCAATTTTGTTTCAGATATATAGTTTTAAATTTCAGGTGGTACTTTTTATGAGATTTTTAAGGCTCGTCAGTTATCATGGTTGTTAATATTTCCTGCAGACATATCCAGAGCGCGAGTTCTACGCAAAATGCTACATCTTTGCAAATATAGCGACGATTACGATTAGCATTTCTATAGCGCGAATAGGCAATTCCAGCTTTTAGTTTATGCGTGCAGGGGACGATGGGAAGTAAGGTATCACATTGCTGATTATGCTGAAAAAAATAAAAATGGTGGCCGTGTAAACACGGAGTGATAGCTTATACTTGTAAATATTGAAATATTTCGGTTGTTTCGGTAGTTTTTATTGACATTTTTCAACATAATCAGCAACATGATACCTTACTTCCCATCCTCCCCTGCAGGCATACTAAAAGCTGGAATTGCCTATTTAAATGCGGATACATGATCAAATGCGCTTTACATCAAGTATTACGCTCACCTAATTATATACGTAGCCTATACACAGGAAAAAACCCCTAGCCTGCAACAGTGTTGATAAAAACAGGGCTGAACAATATTTTGCTGCCCATATTGTTCCTGGTTGTTAACAATATTGAACTTACAGGCTAGGCCAGCCTAGTCCCAGGCTCTCTCTCTATTCGCTGCTTTGATAAATTTAAATAAGTTTTAAAAGTTTTATGCCTGGGTGTGCTGTGCGGAACGCTTCAGCGAGAGAGCCTAGCAGATTTCGGTAAAATGGTCCCTGATTTCAAAAAAGTTGTCCCTGGCCTGGTTACCAAGGATACCTCATTTGTAAATGGAAAATGTTATGGAAATTTCCTTTGCATTTATAATTAAGTCATTAGTTTTGCTCTAATGCTGTCGGAACAATGAAGTAGGCTACGTTTCGCGGCCATACGGTCAGAGTGGAATAACGGGCTAAATATGACTCGTGTTTACTAAAATATATAGCCATATTAAATGCTATCTAGAAGCTTGAAAATTATGCCAAGTCTCCGACTAAGAATGTTTTGACAACACCGTCATGTCAGGCAAATATTTCCAATCTCCTCAGCAATTTAAACCTGTCAAGTAGAAAACGTAGTTGTGTATACCAGTATGGTCTAGTGTTGATCACAACTTGCGAGTACATAAATAACATCAACGATTGCTCAAACTCGGTATCGTGAATTTATATATAATTTTTTTTAGTTGATCACATTTTTAATACAGTTTGATTTGGTTATGTAGACATCGAACATGTACATGATGAACGAACATTGTCGTATTTATAATTAAAAGGTTACTTGTATATATAAATTTTCCGCCATATTAAAAATACTGAAATCTGCTAGGCGTTCTGAAGCACCTTGAGCGGTGACGTCACACCTAGGTCCCAGTCTCGTACTACATCCACTTTTTTCTCGCGCTTGCTTCGGAACGACTGGGACTAGGCTGAGGCTAGGCGTTTTTGCAGTGTAGACTATTCGTACAACTTTGAACTGTGTGTGCCAGTGTATGTAGTCGGTAGTCCCGTCGAATGGCGTTCGCTCGAAACGTCGAAATTCTCCTTATATTTTAATTCAGGTAGTTGCATCCCTACCAATGAAAGGTTGTTATCCGTACAACTGCATGACTGAATTGTACAATATGAGGTCATAAGTTGTTAATTTGCATATCATGTAAACCCCAAAAGGATATACGAAAAATATGTTGCCAATATACTTCCTAAAATGATTTTATCAAATGACAACTGTTATAAGAAGTTCATTTTCATTTGAAGATACTGTTAAAATTATATTTTTGGCGGCATACTCACGCATATATGTACCAATTCAATAATATACACATGCAGACATGTACAAAATACATTTGTATTCAATAATATTCACATGGCATGTACAAAGCCAAAGGTAATCCAAATTTTAGCATGCCGTTGTGTGTTAATTATTCTATGCATGAATGATTGTATTTTTTTCATAATAAAGATCAGGCTTTTTCATTCAATAGTTATATGGATAAAAAAGGGCAAATACGAGTTCGATGAAAATTGTTTGAGAATTGGATCTAAAAGTATTGAAAGTTAGGGTTAGGGTGTGTTATATGTGTATGGAGGTATCTAGTGAACTTTTCAGTACACTATAATATCCATTACATAACGTTTACTATATTGGTGCGCGAAACATGGAACGATTACCGAAATTTTTGGCTAGATCAAAATTTAGTCTATAATGCAAATGTCCATTAATTAAGTTGATAAATTTCACTTCAAAAAAATATCTGCGTGTGCATAATTATTATAAACCAGCGCTAAGCTCATTGTTAAAATGACACATTCGCGATTAATTGCTTTTATTTGAATATTTGAATGAATGAATATTATTTTAATGAGGATACCAAGTATAGTGGTTTACAGAGGGGTCCTCGGATTTTGGTATGCACTGACTTAATTAGGCACAGAGCCAGAGGTAAAAATATGCGATTTCGACAAACAATTTTTGTTGGACTAGTATTTGCTAATATTTTCTTAATAATGGATAAAAAACGTATCATTCAGCAGCCAAAAGCCTGATCTGATTATGAAAGAATTACGTTCATACACCGAGTAATTATTAAATATGCTAAACTTGGATTACCTTGTTTTTTATACACCTTGTGTATACTTCTAAGATGAGATGCCAAATATCACTTACTATCTGAACTTGCGATACATGTCTGAGTAAAACAATATGCTGAACAAGGCTGCGGTTTTGTTGTAGGTATTGCGTTGCCACCAGAGCTGTTAGATACCCTCTCCAATACATACAACAACACAAAGATGAGACATAATACAACTAGTAGAAATATTATCACCAATAAAGTCGTTTTGGTCGTACACCTTTTGTGAGCATTCTTTTCGGATTTCTTTCCCGTCGGTGAAAGTATTTCTATATCCAGAGGCTCGACTTCACTCATCATGAAATTCGTTTGTGTGTTATGTTAAAGTGAGCATGTTTAACATGATAGTCAAAATAATAAAATATATTGCATTCACACATTTAAAAAAAAAGTCATAGGAAGTGTGTTAAAATCTCACAAGTTATAAATCAGGAAGTGCGATCAATATCAAGTGTTTATAGCATCATAATCTCTATTATCTCTGCATTTTTTGCTGGAGAGGTTCAAGAACAATTTGTTTCTACGTTGCGTATTTGGGATGAAAAGCGTTCAAAATCTTTTTGGCGTCCCTCTCCAAATTACTTTGTTTTAGTTTTATTGTCTTGTTTATACAGTTAGCTTCCTTTTTAATTTGAGAAACATAAGAGTAATTATAAAAGTAAAAAATTAAAATTGTAAATTAAAATACAATTAAGAAGCGTGGCATATAAATATGAGTAATCATGCTTTGAATAGGGATAACGGTGCTTATTTGTTACAAGAATGTATACCTATCTTGTTGACATATGGCGTCATCCCATGGGTATATACATACAGTATAATAAGCCACGTTGCGACTTCAGATCACCCCGGATGAAGACACTAGACTGGAGTGTCGAAACGTTGGGTCAATTAGCCTTTCTCATGAAGGTCTAAATTCGCCATTTTTGGTTACTATTTTATAAACAACGTCAACGTGAAAAATCTAAGCAATGGCTGCGATGTGAAAATAACTTTTTCAAATATTTAACTGTAAATTGATTTATAATGATTATACTTACAACTGTATATAGTTATAGAAAGTTTTATTTTCACTGCTTACTATCCCTGTTCTAAACATATTGCCACCCAAAAATGGCGGCGCGAGAAAGACTAATTCGACTGCGCTTTGCATTCCTTTATTAGAACCAGAGTAGCGAGCGAAAACATGACTGATATTGTACCTGGTTGCCGTGAACTCGCAAACTTCACATCAATGATGATTTCGTAAATCAGTATCTTAGATTTATAATCATAAAATATATAAGTAAGCCGTGGAACATTTGAATAACGGGAAATACGAACGTCAAAAGAAAAGAGGAACTTTTTTGTATTTTAGTAAATAAGATGAAATGCACGTCTTGTACGAACGTGAGAGATGTTTTGTAGGTTGATAAGTGGTCGAGGAAGCGAGGGCGATTTTTGCCTATTGTGCGTCACGCGTTACGATCTTCCTTTGCGAGAAAGTTAGAACCGACAACAAGATAGTACTAAGGCCTAATTTCACGACGAGCGAAATGCGAAAAATTTCACACGAAAACACACTTGTGCGAAAATTTTCTCTCGTAGTGATTTCCACAGTAGAGAAAAAATTCGCCAAAACACAAGCATTTGATTGGCTTCGCTATTTCCATCTCGCAACGGAGTAGAAACGAATTCGACCACCCGGCGAAGAGAAATATTTCGCAGAGAAACACTCCAAAATCATGTTGCGCATGCGTTCAACCTTTTCGCGCGAAATTTTCGCATTTCGCTCGTCGTGGAACTAGGTCCTAACTGAGAGGGAGAATTAGAAGTTAAACAGATAGACTGTTCGAGAGAACAAGAGAGAAAGAATGAAAAACCGATAGCAGTGTTCAGTTATATATGTAAAGATAACGACTGTTGAAACGAAAGTATACAGTTCCATTTTAATACCAGCGAAGGAATAAATCTCTCGAAGACAATTTATAACAGTGCCTTACAATTGACACCATATTCACAACAATACTGTAAAAGCAAAACTTCAGACATCATTTTCTCTTTGGTGAACTACTATAGACACTTCATTTTAGCATTATTTTCAGATAAAGCACTAATCGTGCTTTTTAATTACGTTTCTGTGCTGATTGAGAAACATATTAAAATTTGAAAAATATGTACAGTTATAAGCAAGTGACAATATTCTCATTAGTTTTGAACGCATGTTACGTAACTTAGAAAAATCTGCTCTTAACATCTGGTTTACTAGTTAAGTGGTTGTGTGATGGTTATGATTTAAGAGGTATTTTTGTGCGTCTGGATCGGATGTTACTGGATAATGGAGTTGTTTTCATTTGTCAGTGCTTCATGCTGTATGAATATTCTGTGCATCCTTGCAATTGTCTCCTTGGTGATACTTGTGCGTATAGGCCGGGAGGTCATCAAATATTGTATTCATGATATAATTGAGAGCAGTGGCTCTGCATGCTATGGTTTATGGCAGTGGCTTTGCTATAGTGTAATTACGTCGAAATAGCTTTATCACTTTTGTCCAGATTATTCTCTCTGGAGGTCCATACAGAAAGGGTAATTTCCTATTTGTCTAGTACTATAAATCTTATTGACTTAAAATACAATCGCAACTCCGAGTTCACGCACGCTCATTGTGATCGCTCGTTTAAAGATTCCTATTAATTATCACTTTGCATAAATTTGGTATCGAGCACTGTTTCTACACCGTAAAATCTGATCACCTATCTTCCAGTAAGAACCAACTCGATCGCTGTTGATCCTAACCTTCTACTGAGGATGTAACTAAACTAGACTGAAGCTGAACCATTTATATTTCAACCAGAATTGGTGATATAGCCCGCCTGGTGGAGTCGCTTACAAAAAGCTGCTTTAAAACCTCGCGTGTGTCTGTATTGCATAATTTTTAAAGTCTCATTTACACTTGCATTTTTTTATGCGATATTTAGTGCGATTTTCTTCTTCTGATGCATGCGAACAAGTAAATGAGTTACGAATGTTCTGATCGAGTATATATACCCTCATCTGAACATCCATAGCTCATCCACTCGTTTACATCCATCAGAAGGAGAACATCGCACTTAAAAAATTACAGCAGAAATTGCAACGGGCCTTAACAATCGACTTACCATAACTTGTAGTGATGCATTTGGACGTAAGACATAACGATACAGATACTTTCGCCTCCTTCGTCTCTTTTCTTTGAGCAACCAAAACACCAAGTGTGACGATCACAATAACCAATACTCCAATGACTACAACCACAGCAATTCGTGTCGGAGTGCATATCGTAGGTCTTTTATAGTAGATCCTTGCGGGCTGCAAACCTGGATTCAAGTCGTCTGAATTTTCATCGTCCCAAATATCATCCTGGCTTTCTAAGCTGACAAACGGAGCTGATTCCATAATGACTTTGAGGATATATACAAAGTTTATTTATATTACTTGGTGAATTAATTGATACCTCACCAGTTTTGGCCAGCTGACAACTTATTTCTTCCAATGTTACGTACAATTGTCTAACTGCTTTGTTCCAAGCTTTCAAAGTGAGAAATCCTTGTGTCTTCAGGAATCGTTTCCCAAAATTTGACTTCTCGTTCTTATGTCTTCAGGAATCGTTCGCCCAAAATTTGACTTCTCGTTGTGGTCGTCAAAATTGAATGACCGGTGCTTTTCGATTGTTAATAATTTGAATCAAGATTTAATCTTTGCATAGAAAAATGTCGTCGAAACTTACAGTTTCCAACCTCCAAATGGCTCGCAATTCAATGCTTAGTTGGTGTCATATATCCGTATATTTGAATAGAATTACCAGTCTTTGTATGAAATTTTCAATTTCCGGATTTATTTCGTACGAATAAATTTTATCCTAGTATAATGGAGGCAATGATCCGGAAAATTGTATATTGTTGCAACTTATGTTTCCAAATCTTTTTACTGACGAAGTCTTACGATTATTTGGTATCTAACCGGGTTAGCGTTTGAACTATGGAAACAAAAATAATATTGACTATTGAGTATTGTATTTCAAATTATGCCAAAGGTTTGCATAAAGTAGACTTTAATGTGTAGCACTTATTTCCAGCTGTCCTTTGCTTCTAGTATTAAGATGCGACTGTAAATTATATTTCCATAAGCTTCTATTCACTAATTCCACGGGTCTTGAATGGCCAAATGAATCGACAATCTTTCAGGGTCCTTTCAGAAATTCTGTATCGAATATATTAAATCTTGAATCATATATCAAAACCAAAGGCAATCAAATCTTTAACTGTATACCTCCGGATCGAGTTTTGATATGTATTTTGTTTATTAAAGCCAAAATCTACTGTTAGAATATGTGCCAAAATCTTCACTCGCTAATGATTCTTTAGACTGGGAGCATTGTCATTGATGGCCTCATAGTCGTCGACAAATAATATACTGAGCACACAAAATAGTCTGTAACGAGTATAGACGTACTTATATTTTGAGTTTCTTCTTCTTCTTAAAGCAGCCGAATGACTCAGATATCGTTCCTTTCTCCAATGGCTCTGATGATTCTTTTATATGCTTGTCGTTGAGCAAAGATTTTAAGTATCATAAATCAATACCAAAGGGCAAAGGCAAAGCCAAAGGGCAAAGGCAGTTTGTAGATGTAGTGTTGAAATTTGAAAGTGCCTTGTACTTTATGATGTTCCAGATTGTAGTTATATTTATAAACTGATCCACTTCCAAATACAACGATTCTTTCTAGTCTCTGAGTCGTTTGAATTAATTAATAATAATGTTTTCAATGTCGACGTTTAGGAAATACTGAGTATCATATTTCAAAGATGCTTTATTATGCAATTTAGCAGGAACAAGGCATGTTCATCGACGACCGATGAATTTGTAAAATAAATTATATATACTCTCACTATTCGTCTTATGACGTATATATTTTGTCCGCTGGATTAACTTGACTCAATTTTCAGCCATAAATTATTAAATCCCTTTGGCTTATCTCTTTCGCTTATATCTTTCGCTAGACTGATACCTTCTAATATAAATACTGGAATTTCAAATTCACGTCTCCTTTTTCGCTTAAATTAATGTTCAGTTAGCAACCTGGTGCAATGTTTCAATTTGCACATAGCAACTTCGTTTCAACGTACAATAAACAAACAAGCCACTTATTTCATATTTTCTAATATGCGTTAATTGAATATGTTGGTTGATAATGATAGTTGGATGCTTTTAATCCATGCTTGCATGCATGTCATTTTTTCTTTAGCGTTGTAAGGTTCTAGAACCAGCGATATAGGTCTTATGCGTTGGCGTTAAAGATTAAAGGTATATATAAGTGCCAACACGTTCCCTTTTCAGTAAAAGTGATGTAGTTTGCAATGGTCACGTGTCGGTGTACAGATTATTCTTAATATTAATATATTTTGTATATCGCTATATCATTAAAACTATAAAAGTATTGTTGAAATACAGTATAGCTGGCACTGACAGTACAAATTAGTCCAAGGCTTCAATTAGCCAAGCTTCCCATTATTGTTCCAAACAATTCGTTGTTTACCTTTTGCGGGAATATTGTATTATGTATTGCCTATTGAGTATTGGCTTCCTTGACCTTGTTATGTAAATTTCAGACAATTTTGTCCATTGCTGCAGTTAAGTTGGTTGGTACACTGTCCTGCTTCTCTTCGCTTCAATAACACAATATGTTTTGAGATAGAATGATGTGATGATTAATTACTAGTAAAGCAGCTGCACTTTCTGAGACGTTTCAATCTTATCTTCTTCAAATTATTTAATTTATGCAAGAACTTTGCATCCTTGTGTTATCCCGTGGTGTTATGAAACTGTCACTTGACAGTAGCGAAATAGGTCTTGCTATGAAATGTCTTTGCTATGAACTTGTCTTGTCTGTGAATTTGAACACTTAATACTTCCTGATTACTCTAAAATCTAAATTTCTTCCTTAGAATTAATCTTTCCTAGAATTTATAGACCAGTGCATCTACTTACGGTATATTTCTACTACTATAACTTGTACAAGACTTAACTCGTTTTGAACACGTTTAGGCGTTTCAAATTGGATTTCAACTGCACAAAACAAACGCCAGTGAAGACTCGTGTGTTGTCTGGTATAAGAAAGGGCACTTTAGTTTAAATCTGCTGTAGAATACTCGCTTGAACCACAGTCTGTGCTTGAACTGATAAAAGTAAATTTTATTTCTCGATAGTTCATTCTAGCAGTCTTTCTCTATTCCTGGCGCGAATGAATTTAAGTTTTTTTCTGAGTTGCTCCAAAAACAGTCAATTCTATACCATGTTCAATATATATTGTAGTAGCTAAACTTGAACGAGAAATAGTTATTCGCTTATTTTGTTTCTTGGTATATAGGATTATTGTGGCAGTTTTCCTCTGATTTTCAGTGCGTGATAGCCGGCTTATGATTTTAAATTTAAGTAAAATCTGTTTATCTTCTTCATCTGCTTCAAAGACAGTGAATTCCGTCCAACATCTTTGAAGATCATTACCTTAAAAGTACTTAAATCTATAATATATTGATCAATGAGGTTTTTCAAAGCATTTAATTTCAGTAGCACGTCTTAATTTCTAGTGTACGTGATATTAGCATAGATATCTTATATACACTAGATAGCACATCTCTTTTAGTAAAATTGAAGCCAAGAATATTCCAGCGGTTACCCCATTTGAATAGATGCCGGCCATGTTGGAGTTTCCCACTCGCTAATAAACGCTTAAAAAACGACAATAACTTTCATCATTTGAATAGTTTGAAAATGTATTTGGAATAGGTTTAACTTAATTATTAAGTTCCCTGTTTAAGAAATAGAAAACATACGAGTCTTCCCATTTCATGGGAATATCCTCAGTCTGCAATCACGGCTTCAGTTTTTGAATTGCAGAATAATTAGGCCAAATAAAAAAAAATACTTGGTTAGCGTCACACTCTCACAAATTTTCAGAAGCGGGCGGGCGGATTTTTTTTTTATTTTTACTCGTTTTTTTAATTTTTTAATAGTATTTTTGGAGGGGATGGGGAGGCGGTTTTTCTACCATATCGGTGATATTTTTTGTACTGATGTTGCGAAGGCCGCCATTTTGCTTTAAGAACCTTGTATACCCAAGCCTACGCGCTCCTATCGATCAGTATACAGTATAGCGCAAAGGTCTGAGCATGAGAAAAATTTCAAATATTAAACTGTTTAAAGCTGTAAAACGAAGATATTTACATAAAAAAAAATAAAAAAAAATTCAGAGGCGGCAGAAAATCGAGAGGCGGGCGGTGACGCTAACCAAGTATTTTTTTTTTATTTGGCCTTAGATGCACTATCTAGTGTATATGGTCCTATGGATATTAGCCGTATGAGGACAGCTCTTGATATTTTCAGTATTTGCATATACATAATCACCTTATAGTATAGTTCTGTGGCGTCTTTTGTGTTGTAAAGGGAAATCAATAAATTTTTAACATTTTGCCTTCTTAATTTGCCTGTGAATTAGTCAAGGCATTAGTTGGGTTAATAACAATATGACCCCCTTTATGCACAGTAAATGTCTGAGCTTCAATTTCTGTTTTTTGGTTTTGAATATATAGGGCGTGCTCCCCCGAGGATCAGAAATGCTCTATCCCGCACTGCGCAAAATTGAAGAATTTTTTCAGCAAAAATGTTGCAAAAAAAGCGAGTTACAATAGCCAACAAATCAGAAGCACAATTCAACTCAAGAGTTGAACTACTGCATGTAGATGGAAAAGAGTCACAGTATTAAAAAAGGAAAAAAGAATATGTCAAATACTGTTTTTGCTATAATTTCTATATCTATATATGGAGTGTATGCATACAACACCCGGCTTATATATAGGAAATCCATTCACACCGTATCTATTTTTAGGGGGTGGGGGCTAAGCCCCCTGTGCATTTTTTTAGTGATGCAAGCCGCCCCCCCTCCCCCTCGCCCGGCTTCCTCAGTGTTCTTTAGTATACTAAAACAATATTAAATAGGAAAATGACTGTGTTATTTGATCAAATTTATGAATTGAATAGTAACGTTATAAACATGTGTTACGGCCAAAGACGTATATTTCTGTTATATATGCGAAAAATTTAATTAAGTTATCCGGGCTGAAAAACGGAAATCTTTCCTTTACAACACTACTAGATTTCCGGTTAATTTAAAGACAAGTTTGTAGAATACTGTTAATTTCGACGAGTTAATTTAACTCCCAGCAGTAGAGATATTTTGAACCAAATTTAACTCCAACTGTGGAGTGGAATTAGGTTCAAAATAGCTCCTCCGCAGTTATTTTAACTTCCTGAAATCAACAGCGCTGTCCTATGATCTAAGTTAGATCATAGAACAGCGCTGTGACTAGGAAGGGCCGTACGTAGTGAAGACGCTAAAGAAGGGGTGGTGTAGTATCGCATTTGCCGACAACATTTCTGTCGCTTATTAATATTTTTTCACAAAATTGTTGGCGAGCGGGGAGGGGGCAAAAACTTTTCCGGACATACCATTTTTCACAAACCTTCCCATTAATATATCGTGATATAACTGTGTTAGCATTTTCCGTAATTTTCGTAAATTTAGCAAAATATTCGCTATAACTATTACTTTTTGTTCCAAGCCACTCAAATATTTTCGCTGACTACGCAAACAATTTGCCCATAAATCCGAAACCAATTTGCTGAGTCAAGCAGATATTTGTCGAGTCCGTGATGAATGGGGAGTGTTACACCCCACACCCCCTCTAGCCACGCCCCTGGAACTAGGCCGTTTCGTATAAACATCCCGCCTAGAATCATATGTTAAATTATTTATACATATACTTGCGGATACTGCGACGCAGTCTGCAGAATAACAACGATCATCGTCATCGGCTTGTTTATCTAGAAAGCAAAAAATTCTTGGTCAAAATGTCCACATTGAAATTCAGGTAGAGACTATTGCAGAACCTTTCCCTGAAGAAATATTTGAATTTCTTATGCCCTAGCTGTTCCAAGTAGCAAGTGTTTCTAATTCGATAAAATATATTAGAACAATAGGATATGAGGCAAAACTCTAGTACTGGAGGGGGGGGGGGTCGGGGGAATGCTTCCCCTAGCCATAGTTGTAGACTCGAGTCGGACTCGTGACTTGACTTGTTAAAGAGACTGATGACTTGTGACTTGACTTGGACAAAATGACTTGTGACTTGACTTGGACTTGCAAGAAATGACCTGTTACCAACGCAAGTCAAACGTAAATATCTAGTGAAAATTAAGTTTTCCAAAATCTTTGTGTTGATCGATCGATCGTCGTGTTGTATAATTTGGGCAACGACCTTAGTACATATCAATGGCATCGACAGAATTTGTGCCGGCGTAATTTCTGACAAAGCGGGGGTTTTTCGCGAATTCGTGTAAAATTTCTGACATAAAATAACGACGCCATATTTACATATTTTGCCGTTTTGTGTAGGAAAACATGGTCACATGTGGCGATAAAATGACTTGTGACTTGAATTGACTTGCCACTCGGAATGACTTGTGACTTGACTTGGATTTAGACAAAATGACTTGTGACTTGGCACATGACTTGAACTCAGACCAAATAAATGACTTGTGACTTGACTTGGACTTGCAACATAGGACTCGTTAACAACTCTGCCCCTAGCCCGAGAAAATTTGGACCCTAAGAAAGCCTGGAAATGTAATAATAATTACAATATTTAATCAGGTCCTCTCACAAGAGTGATTTGCAGTGGAGTCCTGCGCAAAAAAAGCCTATATTAATGTCTTAGCGTGTCCGATGCAAGTGACAATTGTTTCTTAAGTTTAATTTTAAATACTGTAAATTGTTCTGTTTTCCGGACTTCAACAGGTCGACTGTAATTCCAGTTGTTAGAATTTCAACTAGCTTGTTCCCCCTCGTTTCTCTCGACGCGCCGTCCAACTGTAAGTTCTGTTTGTTTCGGGTGTTGTAGGTGTGGATGTCAGACGAGTATACTTGAAGATAAATTTGAAGTCGACGTTATTGTTTAAACACTTTAACACTTGTCTTATGCATGACGAGGCAACGGTGAAAGCGTGTGCGCATTGATAACGGCTGCCGGTCTAACGAATCTTAGTGATTAAACAGCCCAAAGGATGAGCACCAAGAATGATTTTTGCCGCTTTAGTGTGAATGATCTTATATTAACCATGAATATTTTAATTTACACTTTCTTTGAGGACTCTTATGAAAATCATCTTGGTGATAAAGCCTCCTCATAAAAGATTGTAATAAAAACGTCTTATAAAACAATCTCATAAAAGTCAGATCAATCAAATGTTCAAGCAGCGAAACAAATATGTAAGGAAATCTATAAATCTGTCGCTTCTTCAGTTAATTGCCATATTTGATTTTAGATCTCCGATCTTCATTCAAATTCCTCCTAGCCATTTGCAAACAAACTATTTTGGAGCTTTTCGCATGTTCAAAACAAGAAATGTTCACTGCTATTGCACAATTTGTCTTGCTCTTGGTTTTTCTACGTAGCCATAGGCCAACAAAATTAATAACCACTAATAACAGCAAATACTAAAAATTCCATATTGTCCTCGCTCGACCGAATTTATGAACTTTAGGCATTTCAAACAAAATTTTGAAGACACATCATTTAATTAAGGGAAGCCTCACATATCGATTTTGTCCATGAGAAACGTCATATGTACGTTTCTCTGGAGGACTTCCTTAGAATCGTCACACATAGTTATCGATATTTTGTTCTTTCTTATAGTACAAATAAGGTAATTTTCTACTATTTTCTACGGTCGGCTATTGGCGATGCTTCCGCAAGGAATATGTTATCTTCTGTATATGAATTTTAAAATTTCCAACGTTTCTCAAAACAACTTTTTTTGCATGAAATATTGATAATTTTAGCGCGTTTTTCTTGATAGTATAGAACAGTACGTATAGAACAGATATGGTACAACGAATGTATAGACTGGTGTTTGTATCAAGTTGTTTTCTTTTTTATATTCTGCAAAGCTAGATGATTCCGAAATGTTAAGACTTTCGAAAAAACTATCGAATTTTTCCATGATGTTTATAGAGAAACGTTACAGCTGCAAACCCCTCCCCCCCCCCCACCCCCAAACGAACATATGACGTTTCTCGTGGAAAAAATCGATATGTGAGGCTTCCCAAATGAATTCCATAAATTTGGACTACGTTCACACTACCCGATAGGTTTCCTATCCGATACGAAATGTGCAACTTTCGGGAGCTGAGCGAAACAACGTTTCTCCGTTTTAATAGCCTTCGGAACACAAGGTACGGTTGGTGGATTTTTTTTTCATGTCGCCGCGGAAAGCTATACGTGCGGTACAAAATGAACGCTTTGTAACCTTTCAAATGAAAGTACAATAAAAATAGCTGTGACCGTCGCTAATTGCAAAATATTTAATTTTGTAGGCGGAGTCTCATACATTTTCTACCGAAAACACAATAAATATTTTGATGCGTATACGATGAAACCCGTAACATAATAATTTATGTAAACTATACTTGATATATTTCGTGACTGCGTGACATGAAAATCTAATAGTATACTACAGTGCCGTCCGCTTTTTATCCGTCCGCCTTTTATCTACACTCTTTGCTTGCATTTTTATGTCACGCAGTCACGAAATGCATGCATGGTTAGGGTTAGGGTTAGGGTTAGGATTAGGTCACTGACATAAAGATATAACAGATTACTGGCATGAACAAGCTTTCGTTGGCAGGTATGGAGCTACCTGAAAAATGTAAGGCTTGGTTTATACAGCGTGCTATGAGCGAACCGAACCAATTTTTAAATTAGCACGGCCAAGCACGGTATTAGCACGCATTTTGATTTATACGTAACGTATCTGAGCCAATTTTTAAAGTTGAGATAAAGCCACTCTGGGCGTAAAAGGAGCGTAACATTAATACAATATGGCGTCTCATATTGTTGCAGTATGGTTCGCTGATGGCATTGTGGTTTAAATCAAGGGCGTGCTTAACCGTGCTACGAGCGTTCGGCACGCCTTCGACGAGCGAGCCGCACGGTCAGGAGCGAACCTAATTCAGAGAGTGAACCAATTTGATTTAGACAGCGTGCTATGAGCGAACTTATTAGTTAAGTAATTGGTTCGGTGCGCTCATAGCACGCTGTATAAACCAGGCCTAAGGAGCATTTCGATGTTTCAAGCCCTTCGTCTGGAGTTACAGTGAGTAGTGACTCCAGACGAGGGGCCTTCCCTCGAAACGTCGAAATTCCCCTTATATTTTTCAGGTAGTTGCATCCCTATCAACGAAAGCTTGTTCATTTGATTGGCACTACCTACACTGGGCAAGATTAACACTACTTAAGACAGTTCAAGATTACTGACATGTTTTTTATTGTTCTCGATACGCTTTTAATTTAATATGGCAAGTCATGCGTCATTGCATAATACAAATAGTCGAAAATAAATTGGATTTAAAATTTAATCATCGGAGATTAGCTGCATGTCCTTATGAAAAGACGCTTTATATATAAGGTTTAGAAGCTTCCAGAATTGTTCAGTACTTCAGTGTTAAGTTTGAGTTAATTTAAGACCGTGTTAATAAATCCTGACCATGGCCCGTGGTTAATTCTGTCGACATTTTTCACCATATATTTCTTTATTTTCATAGTGAAAACACGGGGTCACGTTCGCATTTCTCTGTCTCTATAACCAAATTGCATTGCAAGTGGCTTGTGTAACATTACCTTTTTAGACAGAAGTTATAGAGGCCGGTATATAAATTACGTTGTAGGCTATGCTGTTATATAGCTGACATACGGGACTGTTGGAAAATCCATGCATGAATTTAACTGCTTCTGCATGTCAATATTGACTTTATACTTTCTGGTTTGTTTGCAACTTTCTGAAAGTATTAACACTACTATGCATCACTATAGCTCAGAAACAACCAAATCTTTGATTGTAGAATCACACATGTGATGTAACCGGATTTTGCCCTCTTCGGTGGACGCATGCAGGCCATGCGCATAATTGTCCGATCCAGCGTCTTTCACGTTTGAGATCGTGGGTTCGATTCTCGCTGTGGACTCGCTCATCCGCACACTTGTGAAAAGAGTCAGTCAAAGACAAAGCTCTACCGACAAGTCATGGGGTTTCTCCAGGTACTCCGATGGGGTTTCCTTCTACAGGGAACTGTTGACAGGGTGGGTTTGATAAGCTCCAAAATAACTGACCGAAACCTCCGTAGCTTTGCTCCGTGATCAGACATGAGTCCGCATGAGATGTTTGCCGCTATATTCCATTCGATCAGGTTGAGCTCATACTGTTCTTCGCAATTCAGCGTAAATCTGAGCTACAGTAAGGATGATTAGCACTCCCCCACTACATTTACTCCTACTATTTCCCCAGTACATGTACTCCTACTACTCCCGCAATACATTTCCTCCTACTACTCCCGCACTACATTTCCTCCTATTTACTTGCAATATTTACTGCGACACCAAAAGACTTTAATTAACGTGCTTCATAGACATGGGTAACCACCCATTGGTTTTATATGTTTTGCCGGCATATGCGACAAGATTGTTTATACAATGTTTTATATCGTATTTTATACTGTTTAAGAATCAGAATATATATATAAACCGCAATTCTTAGTATAATTGTTTTACATTTGTCATCCATCTCATAATTGTACACATTAGGCAAATACGTATTTTCCTATTCAGCGCGCCAAATACATCTTAATATATATTTAATTGTCACAATCGTGTGAAAAGTATAAAAGCACAAATTTACCTTTAGCTTCTTTAGTCGTTGTTGCAGCTTCGGTCGTAGCATACAAAACCACAAATATAAGAAATCCGACAAAAAATAACAATACCAATGCAAGTAGCACTTTTTCAAAAACACTCCAATGTCGACCATCGCTGCTTTTTGGTTGCACTAAAGTAATTTGACTTGTATGATTATACGTAGCTTTTTTGGAGCCATTTTCCTTTTGGGATGGAGTGTCCATTTCGAAAGCTCTGCGGAAAGCAGCGGCAATCTGTATTGACTTGCCTCAACTCAATTATTGGTTTAGAAAAAATTTAAGGCTAGCACACTTAAGTATTGACAGTTTGCGTCATTATGACTCCGTTTTAAGCATCACTGACCATCACTGGAATGTAAATCTCTTGAAACTTTGTTTGCCCGCCGACACGTTTCAAGGGAACAAGTAGATTAATTAAATTAAGCATTGTTACATATTTTGGATGTTATGAACACTTATGTAATTGTATTTTATTAGTGGCACATAATTTTATGATGTTCGTGGTTTTGGTTTAAAAAGATGTTGACTTTGTTTGTTGCATTTATTCTTGGGCTTGTTGTGTGTGGCTCCTATGTTTTTGTAAAATATAAAACTATGTTTGTATATATTTCTTGTTTAATATTCATTATAATTCACGAGCAATTTTCCAGCATTCGTATATATATGATGAAAATAAGAGCTATAGTAAAGCTATAGCCCAGTATACAGTATGACAGATTGACAGAGCTATAGCCTATACACACAAATATATATATAAAAGTGTTATTGCAGACAGTGACTTTTCGTCTTAACTCAAGACATTAGACATCTTTCAGAATCAGAAAAACTTTATTTCGTCTGGGTAATCCACCCAATATACAATATACTGTTAATATATATAGGGGACCTGTTATCCTCAGGGACTGTAGACAGGCTAGACTAAACAGTAAAGTTACAATGAATGTTCAAGGTATTAAATTGCAGACTTAGAAAACAAAGAAATATTTAAATATTTAATTTATTCCAAACAAAATACCAAAAGAGGTACAAACATTGAAATATAATTGGAACGCTACTTCCTACCGGAAATTTGAAGCCAAACTTGAAAAAGACCGAGTCCCAGTCTTTTCACGCATGCCAGCGAAGAGCGCTATATATGGGCGCTTTCCATTTAATGGCCTGATCGGTCAGACCCAAATTCTTTTCTCTGTATCAATGGAAACATCTGGTCTATGTTTCTCAAATATCTAGCGAAAATGAACCTCATTCTAATGTTATCTAAATTTTCCGGTCAGATAGGTCTGAAGCCCAAATGTTTTGTGTTTCATTCAACAATTTGACCGTTCTGACCGGTCTGGCCGTGTTAATGGAAAGCGCCCTATGATATGAACACGTAATGTTGCTGAAGCTTCGTTCCAATTATACAGCCACGGGGTGTGTAAAAGAGGTAATCCAACTTTAGCATGTTATTGTGCGTTGATTACTTTGTGTATGAATGTTTTTTTCTTCATAATCATAAAGATCAGGCTTTTAGGACTTTTAGCTATAGGATGACACGTTTTTCATCCAATATGGACAATATGGAGAAAAAAATGAGTAAATATACGATCAGTCCGATAAAAATTGTCTGTCGAAATTGCATATTTTCACGGTTGAGAATTGGGTATATACTATTGAAAATTAACTGATTTAACTCCATTTCGGCCTGGCAGTTTCCATATGGTTGTACTTTCGCCAACGTGTCGCCAACGTGTCGTGCAGTGTTTGTTGTGAATTATTTTTATGCCTGTTTCCATATGGTTGCAGGTAACTGTCGTGACACTGTCGCAAGTTAATTTCGTGACAATTTTAAAAAGACAAGCACGGTCAGGGAAGAGCCTGGGAACGAGGTTGGGACTGTCTCCCCAAAGTGGACCTTTGCCCTCCCCCTTATTGTCGCAAAACTTTTGCCACGCTGTCGTCAGTTTCCTGTTTCCATTAAAACGTAACCGTCACGGCACGTTTTTAGCCTTTTTTTTTTAAATTCAGTTTATTTTCTCATGTACATTACAATTATTAATACATTATATTACAAATTAACTATTTGGGCTAGAGACCTACTAGAAACCTTTGCAGGCTTTTGTATCTAGGCCACTAGTCATGTCCTATTTAGATTATTTTATTATTTACAGTAATTTTTAAGATAATATTAAATGCAGAAGAAAAGTTTTATAAGGTATATACAAGATATTTACAAATTTGAGGTATGAAGGGTAAATACTGTAGTATGATTGGGATGTTACTCTGAGTGCATATCCACACCGGGCGAGCTTGAAAAATATGCCCGGCCACGGTGGGATCCCACCGTGGCCGGGGCATATTTTTCAAGCTCGCCCGGTGTGGATATGCACTCAGAGTAACATCCCAATCATATTATTCACCTGAGTACACTACATCAACACAGAAAAAAAATACTGTAGTGTTTACAATATTAAGATAAAGAAATATACTAGTTAGATTGTTATATTATACTAGTTAGGAGCCTGTCGCAACTGTCGTCGAGATGGAACTCAGCCTCTATCTCGACGACACCGCCGGTAACTGTCGTGTCGCGGCTTATTAATGCTGTTTATCCACTTTTACCCAATGGCCTCATTGTCATGTTGGTTATTTATAAGTTTGTGATTGGTCTTAAATGATGAACGAGAAACAAATTTGTGCAGGAAACATACGGCATATAACCATCATGTGCAGGCCTGCCATGCTAACAATGATGAAACGTGGAAACGAGCACATTGGGTCAAGAGTAAAAGGCTTCCCTTTACAGAATTGTGTAGAAGTATAAACTTTTGCATTCAGTTCATGTGGCTAAAAGGCAGCACTTTCCTTGCGATAGTAACTCCTAGTATTATACTAGTTAGGAGCTTGTCGCAACTGTCGTCGAGATGGAACTCAGCCTCTATCTCGACGACACTGCCGGTAACTGTCGTGTCACGACCCCAGTGAACTCAATCTATTTACCTGGAACGATAACATTCAGTCATTTGGCAGTTAAAAAGTGAAGCCTCGCGTGAGTAACGCGTAATTAAGCAGTGGCGTCAGCGCGGTCAAGTGGCATTGGCTTCACGTTTCTCCCTCATGTTATCGTTCCAGATAAAACTGAGATATGGAGTTCACTGGTCGCGACAAGACTTTTCTTCATGTTTCCACTTGGTCGCGAACACTACTCCGACGACAGTTACAACACGTTCGCGACAATTGCGACCCGATATGGAAACCAGTCATTCAGCAGGCAGCAGCCAAAAAATTACGTTCATACACCGAGTGAATTAACGCACAATGGCATGCTAAGTTAGATTACCGGGTTTTTATGCACCCTGTATATTATTCATTTCAATGGGTACAAAGGATATACCAACAAATTACAAGATAATAGATAACTGCCCAATACTTACCGTTAATAATATACATGAAAAATGTCTTTCTGATTGACTAAGAGCAGTGCATTTTTTCGAAATACAGTGCAAATTTGATTATTAGACAGTTACTTATTAAATTAACGCAGCGATTCCAACAGCTCGGCATCCTCGTTCCCAGGGCTTCTCTGCTGCCTGACGTTGCAACGTCATTATGTCACTTGATTATTAGACGGCTTAGCCCCCTGTGAAAATTGTTACTGGTTATGCAGATTGAATGCAGGTTAAATTAGGATGTAATATATGAACAACGAGAGCGAGTGTTTCACCGGGATATCCAAACACGAGAAAACAATGTATGAGAACACGAGCGCGAAGCGCGAGTGTTTTCATACATTGTTTTCGAGTGTTTGGATATCCCGGTGAGACACGAGCTCGAGTTGTTTATATGGCTTCTCAAATGAATCGAGACGTAACAGAATGTTTTCGTTTGCTGATTTGAATAGAATTCTTAACCAAGCATAACGTAATTAGGAATTCTATTCAAGTAATTTTGCATGCGTAATTAAGATATTTGATGAAAACACTAGTGACTTTCATCAAGTATCCAAATGGCATCTTGTGATCAAATAGGTGATTATCATTGGCTGAATTACTCATGAATTATTAATGAATTTGAGAAATATATTTCATTCACCACAATGTTGGTAATTTTGTTTCGCTAAAGAATCTTCATATTAGGGCCCTTACTACTTGTCGCGTGACGCGTGACCAGCTTACGG